TAGTTGTTGAAGGTTTTGACCATGAAACCAATGCTGATACGTCACCCAATCCATCTTATACAACGTGGTATAAGAAAGAACAAGATCCATTTGGTATTATATTATGATCTATTGTCTATATCTTGTTGGAATAGAGTATGGTTTAAACACATTCAAACAAGTCTGTCCTGCTTTTAAGACTAGATTTTTTAATCACTCACAATCTCAAGATATGTCCGTCGCATATATATGCTTGTCGCGACAATCGTTCACCGTAAAAACATTTATATGTATAAGATATAGCCTATCTGATAAAATATAAAAAGACAATGAATTCTTGTCTCTTTTTAGGAAAAATATGGATTGAGAGTCGCCATATAGTATTCTTACCACTAGAAACCCTAACTAGTCTTAAAGATGAGGTACGGAGATTAATTGTGTAAAGGAAAGGTATTAGCACCCCAAATATGTCCTATCTAAGGTAAGCTGCATTGTTTTATTGTCTGATAAAATCTAAGATCTTGTTGTGGTTTCTAATTATTGGTCTGTCTACAGTTTAAGAAAAATCCTCCTATATAATAAGATCCTTATCTTATCGGGTAAGAACCTAATTGTTCTATGTCATTAATAAAAAAATACATTTTTAATATCGAGAATATATTTTATGCATAAATTCGTAATCCCTGATACTAGAACAAAACAAAATAAAATTTTTGTTAATTTTAAAATTTTGGCCAATGTTCTCTTGATTTTAATAAACTGATTATTAAAGTTAAAATGCATGTTAAAACATTGTTTTTTGGTGTATGAAAAAATACAATATAATTTTTTAGTTTTAAGACACTTGGTCGTATGCACAAATATATATATATATATATATATATTTAATTTTTGGAAGTTTTGACGAAAACCAGGTATTTTAATACCAGATTTTGTATTTTTATAATATAAAAATACTGCTCGATATTAATTAAAATGGCATAAAAACTACGTGAAAAAATTGTAAAATTTCAAAAAAATATTTTTGAATTTTTTTTAATGGGCCGATCAGGCCCAAATACATGGGCTGTGCCGAACCTGACCCAACTAACAGTGCCCTCCACTATTCATATGCTACATGAACAATGGAGGCTTGGCAGAACGCAATAGGAGAAAGAAGAAAGGGAGAAGGGTTGACTTGCGGTGGCTGCAACCATTGGATGTGTTACTGTTGCAACCATTGGTTGTGTTATTGGTGGCGATAGGCGGCAACGCCGACGGTGCTATTTTTTTGTCTCTCTCTCTCTCTCCTCTATTTTACACTCTTGTCTGCTTCTTCTTTTTCTTTCATTTTTTTCCATCTATTTCGCTCTCTCTCTTCTCTTCTCCTCTATTCTTTTCTCTTGTCTCTCTTATCCCTCTCGTTCTCTCTTCTTTTTTTTCATCTCCTTCCTTGTTTTAATAGGCAAAAATAGGGGAGGGAAACATGGCTGAAGCGACCACTGTGTTGCTGCCCCTCCATCACCCCTTCAACACATGGAAAGTGGGTTGTGTTGGTGTCTTTTTAAAGTCATCGGGGAGAGGAAAGTAGGTGAGAAACAAAGGAGAAAAGAAAATCTTCTTCCCTTATTCTCTACACGTCCAGGGGAAGAAGATGATGGTGCCATTCAAAACAGCAGCAGCGTTTCGAAGTTTTTTTTAACGAATAGTGCATGAAACAGCACCATTTTGGTCAAAACGTGCCGTTTCATTTAGAAGAGAAGGGCGGCCAAATATGTTAAAGTTTATTTTGATTCTCAATTTTTAATTTGTTTAATCAAGGTTGCCTTAAAATGACCAAGAAAAAAAAATATTTGTCAAGTGCGTCTTCAAGCCCTTGATTATCTAATATAGTATATTTCTTAACCCTACCTCCTTTCAAGTATGCTTTTAAGCTAACTATCTAGGTGGTGGCCAAGTGGTAAAGATTTGAGACAAAGGGGTTTGCTCCCTCTGTGGTCTCAGGTTCGAATCCTTGGTTATTCATATGATGGCCACTGGAGGCTTACATGGTCGTTAACTTCAGGACCCGTGGGATTAGTCGTGGTGCGCGCAAGCTGGCCCGGACACCCACGTTAATCTAAAAAAAAAAAGTATGCTTTTAAGCTCTCATTTTTTTTTTAGAGAGCTTTCAGCCTTTATTTTCTTTGAGCTCACATCTCCTTAAGAGTGTTTCTTCAAGCCTTATCATGTCATTCCTTTTAGATTTTTTGTATTTTTTATATTTTGGGAATGCCACCTACCCATTAGAATGAGATCATATTTTGTATTTTTTATGTATTGGGAACGTCACCCGGAAAAAAAA